ATATTACGAACCTTTTTTTAATAGCTTGTTTTGAATTGTGAATGTTTTTGTTAATTTTTTTAAAGGTTTACAAAAAACAAATGTTACTTTTTAGTAATTCTGAGTAGTGTTTTTGTTATTTTTTATCATTTTGAGTAGTTTGTATTATTTACTGACAATAAAATTATATACCTAAACCTTTCTTTAAATTTTTTTAATGTTACTATTGTAGACCAACTCAAACCGATTCAGAAACTATTTGAAAAACATTGGAAGAACAATGACGCAACTGGGAGGCTGCAAAGTTCTGAGATCTGTGTAGACTCTAAAAGTTTTATTATCAAAACACTAAGATTGTCATTTAAAATTAGACTAAATTTACCATTAAAAAAAGTAATTTCAGTTTCAAAAATATTCACTTAAACTTTCACTTTGTTTACTTTGCTGTAAAAATATTTTTAAAAGTCAATTTTCCAGCATTTTAGTAATCTGTACTTGCGTCGATGTTGCTCTGGAGAAGCGATATGTAAAAAAAAATTGCAACTATCTGAGGGTTTTATTTAGGGCCTACTATAAATTTGCGTTTTTTTTTTCAGTATGCTGGATTGCAAAATTATTATGCAAAACCTATCCGACCGATCTTAACAAAATTTAGCACACGTTTTAAACATATTAAAAAGTTTTTCTAGGCGGAATATGGAGCTTGTAAGTCAAGTTTAAAAAGTCGAAAACATTTAAAGGATTAACCTAATTTGTTTGTACTTTTTTTCCAAATATTGCTATTTTTTCAACAATAAACATTAAATTTTCAATTTCTAGCTAACGACATATTGTGTAAAATTGAATAACAAAACTTTTAACTTTTTATAATTTTTCTCTAGGATCAACATTTTCCGAATTATAAACGAAAATATGAGCAAAAAATGAGAAATTTTCAATTTTTTTCAGATTTTGTTAAATAAAAAATTTAGCACAGGGTTGGCGACTGCCGCATATCGTGATTATCGATATTGGGCCCATCCTGAAGGGATTCCAGCAAAAAAATAGCTTCCTATGCAAAATTTCCAATCCAAAACAGATCCCGTCTAGACTACTATGAAAGCAAGAGTGGGCTAACCAACATTTTGTTGATAATTGAGTTATAGATTGCAATCACTTCTAACGACCTAAAGTTTTAAACCAAAACCGGCTTAACCAAGATTTCCGTATATTATAACATAAATCTCTCCAGTAAGGTGATTTTGTATTATAAAAAATAACAAAAATTTGAAAACACGAATGGGCTAACCCACGAAGTTGTGGAATAGACCAAAATTGTTCAATACATAAATACGTAAAAGAATGCAAGATTGGGCTAACCATCCTCTTTGTAGGATAGACCGGTTTTTAGGAATCTTTTATAACTTTTACAAAGGAGAACATACTAGTAATCCCGTCTCATTCCAAATATTTCGAAAAATATTTAATACCCCATTTAATATTGGATTCCATGCACCAATTACGGATTTGTGCAAAAAATGTGATGTGTATAACAATAAATAAAGAATTAAACAAAAATTTAGGAAATATTGACCACAATAGAATTAGAGAGTACGATGACATAAACGTTCTGTGGAAAACTATTAAAGAACAAATGAACAATGTAACGGAAAAAACATCTAAAAGTAACACCTAGAAATAACAAACAGGAATGGATGACAGAAGAGATTTTACAATTAATGAACAAACGAAGAGAATCTAAAGGAAAAAATGACAAGGACGTAGAATACAAAAGACTAAATAGAATAATTCGAAAAAAAAAAAATAACCGAAGCAAAAGAGAAATGGCTGGAAACAAAATGCGTTGAAATAGAAGAACTGCAACAAAGGCACGATTTTTTTAACTTACATAAAAAGGTAAAAGAGTTTACATCGACTACCAAGAGAACGACTTTTCACACCATGCTGAACACGGATGACAAACTGCTAGAATCAACGGAAGATAAACTGAAAGAATGGGAAAAATATATTAAAATTCTTTTTCACGACATACGAGAAGAACCAAGATTGGAAAATAACAACGAAGGGCCAACAATTCTGAAATCATAAATGCAATTAATCATCTCAAAACAAATAAAAGCCCAGGTCCAGACGGAATATACCCAGAAACGCTCAAATTAATCAGCGAAGAAAATATCGAATTATTTGTCCTTTTATTCAATCGCATTTATGATACAGGTAAAATACCCCAAGATTGGCTGGAGTCAATATTCATCCCACTACCAAAAAAGCCAAACCCACAACACTGCAATGAGTTCCGTCTGATAAGCCTTATGAGTCATGCTGTAAAAGTCCTACTAAAAATCGTACATAATCGTATCTATAGAAAGTGCGAAACAATCATCGGAGACGATCAGTTTGGATTCAGAGCCGGCATGGGAACGAGAGAAGCCCTGTTCAGTTTACTAGTTCTCGCCCAAAAATGCTACGACCAACAGAAAGATATATTTATATGCTTTATAGACTTCGAAAAAGCATTTGATAGAGTAAGACACGACCTACTATTAGAACGTTTGCAAGAAGTCGGTTTAGATGGAAAAGACATCAAATTCTTAAAAAACTTGTACTGGAACCAAAAAGCCAGAGTTAGGATCGAAGGTTCCACATCCGCAGAAGTAGAAATTAGGAGGGGAGTTAGACAGGGATGTGTTCTGTCGCCTCTGCTGTTTAATCTTTACTCCAAGTTTCTATTTAAAGAAGCATTGGAAGATTCCAAGGATGGAGTCAAGGTGAATGGCGTAAATATCAACAGTATCAGATACGCCGATGATACAGTGTTAATTGCGGATTCCGACTCAGGTCTACAACGACTCATCGACAAGACCAACTCGACCTGTGAGCAATTTGGTATAAAAATAAACATTAAAAAAACCAAAGTGATGTCAATCCGAAAAAACCAAAACGTACCTCAACCTTGCACAATAAATGGGCACATCTTAGAACAGGTCAATAGATTCAAGTACCTGGGATGTTGGATCGATAGCAGCCTAAATCCTGATCAAGAAATAAGATCGAGAATAGAACAGGCTAGAAAATCTTTCGAAAAAATAAAAAAACTGCTTTGTGATTCTCGACTAAAACTCGAAATTCGACTACGTTTATCAAAATGCTACGTCTGGTCGACTCTTCTATATGCAGTTGAAACGTGGACCCTTAAAACATCAACCGTAAATAAATTGGAGGCCTTTGAAATGTGGATCTACCGGAGAATACTCAAAATTTCATGGACATCGCATACCTCAAACGAAGAAGTGCTGCATAGAATAGGCAAGGAAAGAGAACTTTTTAACACAGTAAAAGTAAGAAAAACATCATACCTAGGCCACATACTGAGAAATAATAAGTACCAATATGCCCAACTTATAGTGAAAGGAAAAATCGAGGGAAAGAGAGGCCTAGGAAGGAAAAGACTATCATGGCTCAGAAACATCCAACAATGGACAGGGCTAAATTTTGAACAGCTAATAAGAACAGCTGAAGATAGAGAAGAGTTTAAAATTGTAGTAGCCAACCTCCATTGAGGAGAGGGCACTTTAAGAAGAAGAAGAAGTATAACAATAAACTAAAGTTCTCAACAGTTCAAGCAGAAAAACGAGAATTTAAAGTAACACTAGAGGTTCACCAACGAAAAGCAGACCCTGCTAGATGTGGTATGAAACAAGATGCAGGGCATGCAAAACAAAATCCTGAAGAAATTACAGTGATTGCATTTGATTTGATGCGAACGTTGCTCACACCAGTTATCAACACTTGAGTTTCTTACTATAAACGCCAGTTGTGGACTTACGTCTTAGGAGTCCATAATTTGGTTACTAATAATGCTCATATGTATGTTTGGAACGAGACACAAACATCATGAGGACCTCAAGAAATAGGATCCTGTTTACTGCATTATTTTAAAAATGTTGTTACAACTAAAAATGTAATGTAATGTATATTCTGATCAATGCGGAGGGCAGAACCGTAACATTAAAATGGCTGTCCTTTGCGATTTTATTGTGTTACATCCTGATATTGTGGCGGAAAATATTGATCATAAGTTTTTAGTTAGCTGAGACATTCTTACTTTACATGTGACCTCGGAGTAATAAGTAAGCAAAAATTTTTTTTAAAGATATCTACGTATCTGACGACTGGATAAAGGTAATAGCACATGCACGAAAGAAAGCACATTTTACGGTAATAAAGATGACAGAAAGCGATTTTTATTCTACTAAGAAGTTAGAAAGAAATATAACAAATCGCAAACTTGATACACAAAAATCGAAGTCTAATGGTTACAGATTCAGTGGTTGCAATACAGGAAAACAAATCCATTTACAATTTACTACAAATCCAGCAATAATGCCGATTTACTCGCTAGATGTCAAAAAGAGGACATCCAGGGAAATACTTTAGCTAGATTATCTTTATCCCGATGGACGCCCAATAACCTAAGCAAAAAACAAGAATTTTTGTTACTTTGTTTTTTAATAAAGTATATTTTCAACATTGATATTGTTTAATTGTATTGTACTCCAGGTCTAATCCTCATTCCTATTCAAATTTTTAAGGGCAGATTGATGTAAAAGCAGTCTAATCCACAAAAAAGCTTAAATTTTTATAATTTGGTTAAATATACTGCAAGATCTTCGAGTTTTTTGTTATTAGTTAATGATTTGTAAACAATGACTACCTTTGGGCATCATATTTTAATTGTATAAAATTAAAAAAAAAACGCATATATTCTTGGTTCATGTAAATCCATTATTCAATATTTGGAGTTGGCCGACTGTTGCTCTCATAGCCTCAATTAGCTTGTGTCAAGGCAATAAATAAGTCGTTAAAAGTCGTTTTAGTTTGTAAGAAAAATTTCAACACTCTGTACCTCGGAAAAGCCAACATTTGCAAGCATAGGTTTACATAGGATACTGTCATTATTTTTCTTGGAGAATCACACCCTGAATTTAGTTGTCGGGATTTACTAAAACTCTGTATATTTTACATATATGTATTATTCAAATGGACTAAAAATCAACACTTGGAACCTCTGTAACTCAGACACAATTGATTTATGAGTCTTAACGAAATCATAACTTTTGGTCAGCTCTGAAAAGTTTCAGTTAATTTAACAGAAACCACTTTTAAATATTAAATACCAATATGTGGTAACAAGTTTCTGCAAATATATATACAAAAAAGTCAAAGTTATAAATTTATCGAAATAAATTGTTTTTAAAAACTGTCCCGAAACAGCAGAACCCATTAGTCACTTGTAAGGTTTTCTCCAGAACTATTTCATACACAACTTCATATTAACCGCTTGAGAAACTGCTTAAAACAAATTTCACATATGTTTTTCTCCACTACATACCCCCAAAAAGTATTTTTAACATATTTGTGTACGAAATCTGTTTAAATAAAATTTCATGTTTGTTACGTTTTTTGTCCAGTGTGCACAATCAAATGTGATTTCAAATTAGTTTTATTAGAAAACTGTTTAAAGCAAATTCCACACTTATGAGGTTTTTCGCCAGTATGCATTCTCAAATGTGTTTTTAAATTACTTTGATCACTAAACTGCTTTAAACAAATTTCACACTTGTAAGGTTTTTCTCCAGTATGCACTCTCAAATGCTTTTTCAAATTTCCTGTTTCAGTAAATTTCATAAAACAAATTTCGCACTTGTAAGGCTTTTCTCCAGTGTGCAATCTCAAATGTGTTTCCAAATTACTCTTTTGGCTAAACTGCTTAAAACAAATTTCGCACTTGTAAGGCTTTTCTCCAGTGTGAAATCTCAAATGTGTTTCCAATTTACTCTTTTGGCTAAACTGCTTAAAACAAATTTCGCACTTGTAAGGCTTTTCTCCAGTGTGAAATCTCAAATGTGTTTCCAAATTATTCTTTTGGCTAAACTGCTTTAAACAAATTTCACATTTGTAAGGCTTTTCCCCAGTGTGCACTCTCAAATGGGTATTCAAATTTCTCTTTTGGCTAAACTGCTTTAAACAAATTTCGCACTTGTAAGGCTCTTCTCCAGTGTGCAATTTCAAATGTGTTTCCAAATTTCTCTTTTGTCTAAACTGCTTTAAACAAGCATTTTCTCCAGTGTGTGTTCTCAAATGTTGTTTTAAATTACTTTGAACACTAAACTGCTTTAAACAAATTTCACACTTGTAAGGTTTTTCTCCAGTGTGAAATCTCAAATGTGTTTTCAAATTACTCTTTTTGTTAAATTGCTTTAAACAAATTGCACACTTGTGAGGTTTTTCTCCAGTGTGCACTCTCAAATGTTGTTTCAAACTTCCTGATTCAGTAAATTTCATAAAACAAATTTCGCACTTGTAAGGCTTTTCTCCAGTGTGAAATCTCAAATGTGTTTCCAATTTACTCTTTTGGATAAACTGCTTTAAACAAATTTCACATTTGTAAGGCTTTTCCCCAGTGTGCAATCTCAAATGGTTATTCAAATTTCTCTTTTGGTTAAACTGCTTTAAACAAACTTCGCACTTGTAATGCTTTTCTCCAGTGTGTGTTGTCAAATGTTGTTTTAAATTACTTTGAACACTAAACTGCTTTAAACAAATTTCACACTTGTAAGGTTTTTCTCCTGTGTGAAATCTCAAATGTGTTTCCAAATTACCCTTTTGGCAAAACTGCTTTAAACAAATTTCACACTTGTGAGGTTTTTCTCCAGTGTGTGTTCTCAAATGCTGTTTCAAACTTCCTGAATAAGTAAATTTCATAAAACAAATTTCACACTTGTAAGGCTTTTCCCCAATGTGAAATCTCAAATGGGTATTCAAAGTTCTCTTTTGGCTAAACTGCTTTAAACAAATTTCACACTTGTAAGGTTCTTGTCCAGTTGCAATTGTCATATTTTTATCTAATATTATTCCTTCGTGTTGGCCTGTATATTTTCCTTTATGAGATGAATGTAATGTTTCCATGATTTTAATTCTATTCTCCTCCTGGGAACAACCTAAAATACAAACCAACTTTAAACATTTTACTGGAACGAAATAATTATTGCAGAAACAAAGGGATTTAATAAAGAAAATTATAGACAAGTTGACCTTTCAAGGTTTATTACTACATGTGCAACTATTGTAATGAAGAAATTGTGATTGCTCAGTTTTATATGTTGTAAAATATCGCTTGTTTAAAACTATACTTTCTTCAATAACTTAACTAATTATCCTTTTTAATACAGTCTCCTTTGACACATTGAAATCTAAAGAGGAGAGTTTCTATATACATTTTTCATATGGTGCTCTGCAAAGTGATGTTAGAGAGTAATAGGGAAAGAGCATCTTCATACTAAAGACCACTATTTATTATAAAAATAGTCAACAGTTTTTCTTTAAGTTTTACTGCACTTCCACACAAGCTTTTGAGATTAATTAATTTAAATTTTCTTTTTCAATCTGCACCTCACGTAAAAAACTAAAAGATTTTTTGAAAACAATTAAATGGAGAATTCAAAAATATATTTTAATTTGAAAAATCTGTTGGGTACCATTTTTTTCTTTAAAAAACTTGAGACCATTACCCGAATTCACGCCACTGATGAATATAAAACTCCTAATTATGTTAAAAAATTTGCAATATGTGCAATAACGAACTTGTAAAACCCACTAAATTTTATTTGCATATCATAACATAACAATATCTTTATTTTTAGAAAATAATATACATTCCGTGAACATAAAATTATTAAAAAAAAAACAGTGTCACAAACGAAAATATTATTTACTTATTCCTAACCGTTATATATACAAATAGTCCTCCAAAGAATATGGCTCAAGAGCTACCAGTAATTTAAATATTTGATGTTTATACAAACTTAATCTTTCCTCCCTTTTAATAGGTTCAGGCAGTTTATTAAACAATTTGATGCAGCAATAAAGAGCGTTTTTTTCTGTTATACTTAACCTGTGTATTGGAATTTTATAATTATATAACCTGGTATTTACTATACTATTGGGCTCAAAGTTCCTAAAGAGTATTTTATTTTTATATAGAAACAGTAAGCATTCTTGAATAAATACAGCATAAACTGTTAAAATATTATTACTCCTAAAATGCCCTCTACATGATTCCCTACTTTTTAAGTCAAACATAACTCTGATTATTTTTTTCTGAACCAGAAATACATTATTTATGTCCCTACTGTGGCCAAAATTTATTAGACCATATCTAAATTTTGCTTCAAAATTAGCATGATACACAGTTTTTAATGAGTAACTATTCATGTATTTTTTTAGAACTCTAAAGCTGTAAATCACTTTACTCAAAGACATACATAACTGGTCAACATGTTTATCCCAACATAAAAAACTGTCAATATATAATCCTAAAAATTTGGTACTGCTGCTAATATTTAAAGTGTCATTATTTACAATAATACTGTTTGGCATATCTGAATGTGCATAATTTGTCTTAAACAAAAGTAGATCTGTTTCATTTTAATTTAAAACCAACCTATTCATAGAAAACCAGTCTTTAGCTTTCTGGAACTCTAAACTAGCATTAACGCTTAGAACAGACATGTCTTTACCACTGACTAAAATGTTTGTATCATCTGCATAATTTGTTATGCTGGAAGTAGTGTTAGCCACTAGACCATGAAGATTATTGATATAGATCACAAACAGTAAAGGACCAATCACACTTCCTTGTGGTACTCCAATATTGACAGTGCTTTCAGATGAGATGCCTATTTCAGTGTTTTTATGTATTTTTACTACTTAAATGTCTCCTATTTGCCAAGTAGGACTTAAACCAGTTCAATGCTGGTCCACGTATACCATATTTCTCCAATTTATCAAATAATATGTCATGCACTAAACAGTCATAATATATGTATTATTCAAATGGACTAAAAATCAACACTTGGAACCTCTGTTACTCAGACACAATTGATTTATGAGTCTTAACGAAATGATAACTTTTGGTCAGCTCTAAAAAGTTTCAGTTAATTTAACAGAAACCACTTTTAGATAAAGGTGTTGCAGTTCTTTGTAGAAGTACAGTAACTGTATGTAGTAGAATCTTAATTAAGTTTACAAATGAGATTAAGTTTGACATTAATATTGAATTTCATTTGTATTATATCGCACTATACCAATATGTGGTAATAAGTTTCTGCAAATATATATATATACAAGAAAGTCAAAGTTATAAATTTATCAAAATACTTAAATTGTTTTTAAAAATTGTCCCAAAACAGCAGAATCCATTAGTCACTTGTAATTTTTTCTCCAGAACTATTTCATACACAACTTCATATTAATAGATTGAGAAACTGTTTAAAACAAATTTCACGTATGTTTTTCTCCACTACATACCCCCAAAAAGTATTTTTAACATATTTGTGTAGGAAAACTGCTTAAATAAAATTTCATGCTTGTTATGTTTTTTGTCCAGTATGCACAATCAAATGTGATTTCAAATTAGTTTTCTTAGAAAACTGTTTAAAGCAAATTCCACACTTATGAAGTTTTTCGTCAGTATGCATTCTCAAATGTGTTTTTAAATTACTTTGATCACTAAACTGCTTTATACAAATTTCACACTTATAAGGTTTTTCTCCAGTATGCACTCTCAAATGCGTTTTCAAACTTCCTGATTCAGTAAATTTCATAAAACAAATTTCACACTTGTAAGGCTTTTCCCCAGTGTGCAATCTCAAAAGGTAATTGGTTTTATGAATTCAAATATGTAACAGAATTTCTGTAAATTTTGACATGTATTTCGCTGTACATATATGTATGTGTATGTCTTTGTATATATGCGTGCATAATTTTCTAAATAAAGATTACTACTACTACTGAATTAAGTTACTTAATAATATCATCCTATTATTAAAAATAAAATATATGCTATACATCTAAATAATTATCTTTTCAATATAAAGGTAAATAGTATAACATGTAACATTTTTTCCTAATAAACCATGGTTTGACAAAACTCTATACATAGATATGCATCATATTACTACCATTATAAGAATGAGGACTGGTCATTTCTTGACAGGAGTACATTTATATAAAATCAACATTCAATCCACACTGTGGATGCAGACAAATTGAAACAAACACATATTTTAGGACTGTCCAATAAATAAAAGATCAGGATGTCTATCAGTAACTGATTGAAATTGATAATCAATATACCAATGCTTCTATGCGATATTAATACTAAATTATCAAAATCCTTTTTAGATTCCTTGTTCCTGTATAGCTCACACCAAACGATTGAACAAAATAGGGCACTCACGACAGTGGAGCTAAAGTTTAAGTGATTTCCACTTTAAGAAAACATATTTACTTACTTTCTTCATTTGTTGTTTGCTTTTCATGCAATAGTGTAAATTTATATTTATCTTGTTCTACTTCAGTATTTACTGGCAAATCGTTTAAGTCTAAATAACCAAATTCATCATATTCAGTTTCTGTCTTGGGTTCTTCTGTAATTTCAAATTTGAAAGTATTCAAGAGACCATCACCACACGTTTCTGTTTTTATTTTACAAGTTTTCTCACTCCCACTAGCTTCTTGTTTTATTTCCATATTATTAAATTTAATTTATTGGTCTTTACACAAAAAAAGTCACTATAAATAAATTTTAAGAGGAAATCTTCGGCACAACAAGCATTAAATTGTGCTATTCTGAACTATGCCACAGTTTAATGCTAAAATAATTCTTTAGAATACCGTGACTGTGCATTATTAGGACCTCATTTATATAATGTTTAATCAATGCGACAATGCGTCCATTTCTTCGGTTAGATTCTCCATATTGAAAATTATTGATCATATGATCAGATAAATTGAAATATTCTGTGATTTCTGCGCATGCTAGAAAACTTGTTCTCAGTGGCGGCACGGCGTCTATTAAATAATATAGGGGATGCACAAATTGTATGGTAAAAATAAACACAGGCTTTAAAAGAAAAAAAACGTAATTAATATTTTTAAATAAATATTTTTGGAAAAAAAACCGTAATTCTTAACTAACATTAGTGCAATATAATGTAAAAGTGAACAGCTAGACTTTTAACTTTAAGTGTCAATTGAAAAATGGACATTATTAAATGGTATAACAATATACAATCAGAGAAACAATTCATTATGTAATATCCTGGTAAACTATTTAGCCCGAATAAACACCTGACACCATGTAATATCCTGGTAAACCTGCCAGGGTATAAGGATGAATAAATAAGTATGTTTTATTCCAGGCCGTTTATTGTGATACTTTATCTGACACCCTCATGTTGACTGCCCTAACATGACAGGTGATGTCACCACGAGGCTCCTGTCATGTTAGTTGCCTAACAATGACACCACATATATTACACATTATATGTAATCATTATGTAATAATGTTGTATGGCTAGTTATAAAAAGTTCCGCTTACTTTTCACCAGTTCATAACCTGGAAATCTTGCAAAAACTGTTTGTTTGTTGTAGAAAAGGGTTAGAGTATATTTTGCATTGATTGGACCAAATTTCCAACAATAATTGTTGCATATACCTACATGTTGAATATATTCAATTCCATATTAAAAATGGGATGTTGCCCTTTGGGAGCGACCGAGAACCCCTACTTTCCACAGGTTGTGACATAAGGATTCTTCTAGGAGGGTTGTTCTGCTGTGATCTTACCAGATGTCCTGCCCATCGTAGTCTTCCTATTTTTATAAGAGATACTACGTCTTTACCACCAAATATATATTTATATCTGTGATATATTTCGTAGTTGTACCTCCTTTTCTAAACACCATTTTCACAGATGCCACCGAATATTCTTCTTAGGATCCTTCATTCAAATATATAAGGAGGTTTTCATCTGCCTTGGAAATGGTCCATGTATTCGACCGGTTGTATAAGGGTTTTGTATATGGTTATTTTTGTTTTTTGGCTTAAGTTTCTGCTTCTCATATGTCAACTCCATCCAAAATGGCATTTGTTTGCTAGGATTATTCTTCGCTTGATTTCTTACGTCATGACGTTCTCCTTGGTGATCAGGGAGCCTAAGTATGTGAATTTGTCCACCACTTCAAAGATAGTGTTATCAATCGTGAATTAGTGGCTGATGTTTCTGGCTCTATTGGTGGGTGTTGATGCCATTATCTTAGTTTTCTCCTCATTTACTTGCAGGCCCATATTTTCTGAGGCATTTGACAAGGTGGTATACATTTCTTCTAGTTTGCGTGTTGTGCGGGCAACATCTTTTGCATATGTCAAAATTTGGGATGATTTATTAAAATTGTTTCCTCTGCTATTTGGGCATCCGTGACCGCCTTTTCCAGAGCTATGTTGAAAAGGAGACACGCTTCTAAAAATTATGTGTTCATTTTTTTCGCTTATGCTATATGGGTTATTGGACATTTGTAATAAATATGTAAAGTAATATATAAAATAATCTTTATTGCATATATCAAGCATATTGCATACCTATATTATAAGAATATAAAAATAATAGATTATTTACATCTGTACTATGGCTCTACAGCAAAATTCGAACAAAAGGAGGTCAGGGGCATTTGGGTTAAAAGACACTGCTCTGAGTCTCAGATTCCTAAACGTGACAAGAATGAGTCAAGAACCGTAAAATCGTTTCGAAAGAGGTGAACTAAAGCGAGGCGGCGAGGGTCATCAGGATGGTGGTGATATACAAACGCCATCCCGATTATACATTGAGCCAAGAACAGACAGGATTGGAAAAAGCAAACTGTCGGAAGCCCTCTATGCTCCTTCTTCGAGCAGTGACAGTGTTGCTCAATTTGAAAGATTCTCAGTTAACAAATCAGTTCTATCATTGACCGGTGCAAATGAGGTTAGAAAGAACTAGCTCAGGAAGGTGTTTGGAGTGTTGGACACTGTTCTGGGAGGGGGCGAGTTTGACAGTGGTCGAAGAACCTTTCGGACGAATTCAAGAACAAGAGTCCTCGTCTTTGTCATTGAGCCAGAATCCATAAATTCACAAGTGATCAGGATGCGCCTTCAGCATCTGAACCCGATGCTGAGGACACAAAACTGATTTTAGGAAAATGTAGAAGGGACCAGCACTGAGTAACTACAAAGCTTACTATAGACTTGGTAGGATAACGAATAGAGATACTGTGTTAACCCGGGTCGCCAAATGATGCTTCCCAGGTTAGTTCCCTCTACTGTAGGATCTTTTAATGGATGGACTAATGGGGATTTAGAAGGCAAATGGTCATAAAACAATTGGATACTGGGCGTAAAAAACAAAAATGGTCAGCAAATACAATAAAGCTTCGGCGTCAGTGATGTTGTAGATCATTTTAATCGGACGGACCCAGGTTTAAAAGCCAAAAACGTTGTTTAAAACAAATGTCACACATCTTCAAGTTTTTCTCAAGTGTGCGTTCTCCAATGTCTTTTTAAAGAACTTATTGTATTAAACTGCTTCAAACATATTTCACACTTGTGAGGTTTTTCTCCAGTATGCGTTCTCAAATGTGTTTTTAAACTAAATGCTGCGCTAAACTGTTTAAAACAAATGTCACACTTATGTGGTTTTTCTCCAGTGTGCGTTCCTAAATGGGTTTTTAAATTACTTATTGTAGCAAACTGCTTTAAACAAATTTCACACTTATGAGGTTTTTCTAAACTGTGTATTCCCGAATGAGCTTTTACCTGACTTGTTGTAGTAAATCGCTTTAAACAAATTTCACACTTGTGAGGTTTTTCTAAACTGTGTATTCCCGAATGAGAAATTAACTGACTTATTGTAGTAAACTGCTTTAAACAAATTTCACACTTATGAGGTTTTTCTCCACTGTGCATTCTCCAATGTGTTTTTAACTGACTTGTTGTAATAAACTGTTTTAAACAAATTTCACACTTATGAGGTTTTTCTCCACTGTGGATTTTTAAATGTGTTTTTAAATTACTTCGATCAGTAAACTGCTTTAAACAAATTTCACACTTGTAAGGTTTTTCTCCAGTGTGCGTTCTCAAATGTGTTTTTAAATTAGTAAGGTGCTTGAGACAAATTTGGCATGTGTGAGGTTTTTCTAAACTGTGTACTACCGAATGAGTTTTTAACTGACTTGTTGTTGTAAATTTCTTTGAACAAATTTCACACTTGTGAGGTTTTTCTCCAGTGTGCACCCTTAAATGATCTTTCAAAATATTCATTCGAGAAAATTGCTTTAAACAAATTTCACACTTATGAGGTTTTTCACCACTGTGCATTCTCAAATGTGTTTTTAAATTACTTTTATCACTAAACTGCTTAAAACAAATTTCGCACTTGTAAGGCTTTTCTCCAGTGTGAACTCTGAAATGCTTTTTCAAACTTCCGGATTCATTAAATTCCTTAAAACAAATTTCACACGTGTAAGGTTTTTGTCCAGTCTTAACTTCCATATTTTTATCCAATATTTTCCCTTCAGCGTATTGACTTACATATTTTCCTTTAGGAGACGAATATAACGTATTCATAATTAACATTTTATTCTCCTCTTGGGTACAACCTAAAATACAAACCAACTATAAAAATTTTACTGAAGCAAAAAATTTATTGTAAAAACAATGAGATGTAATAAATAAAGTAAAATTATAGGTCAAGTTGACCTTTCTTTTAAGTTTATTCAAACATTCGATCTTTTTCCTTAATGCTAAATGCCAATTGGCAACCTCAATGTGTACTGCTGTTTTTCTCTTACGTTAAAAAGGTACAACTGGAAATAGAACCTTATTGTCAACTTTTTGAAAATTATGGCACATGAAGAATTTGTAATTTATTCGAATTGCATATCATTTGTTTAAAATTATACTTTGAATAAATTTTCTTTATCTGACCTAACCAATTATTCTCTTTAATAAAATTATCTTTGACACTAATAGTTATATTTCCCCCTATATCACATTTTTCATACGATGCTCTGAAAAACGATGTTAAAGTGGAGCGGAGATAGGGCATACCCATGTTTAATGCCCCTATTTATTATATAGAAGATCGACAGTTTTTCTTTAAGTCTTAATCCACTTCTACTTCTACAAAAGCAAGATTAATTAATTTCTTCTCTACGAGCTCCACTCGTACGATGTTATCATATGTTTCTTTTTAAAATCTATAAAGATGTGGTGTAATGGTTTTATTGTATTCCGAACATTTCTCCATTAACCGCCGAATAATGGATATTAGATCCACTGGTTATAATTTTTTTCCTAAACTCAAACCGATAGTCCTCTATTCGATATTTCACCTATTCGCTTAATCTTTACAATAGTATTAGGATAACACTTTGCAGGCGGTTGGTACTTGCTCCTCCTTCCATATTTGGCGTAATAACTAATAAAAAACATGTACTACTGAAGTTTCTCCTCCATTTCTGGGGCTTTGTTGTTTATAGTGCCCGGATACATTTTGACACTTCTTCCAGTGTATGATTTTTTTTTATTAAGATCCGCCGTAAAATACACATATTTCTGCGAGAGTTGATTTACCAGCATATAATGTAACTCGTTAAAGTATATTTACCATGTCTCATATCACTTCAGCCTCCTGTAACCATAATATCTTCGTCATTCATTATGACAGTTCCAGATCTTGTTAAAGCCATTTTTTATATTGTTTACTTTGCGAAAGAAATGAAAAAGAAAGCATGGTTTTATTGATAGAGCAGATAGTGTGTTTTCGTCAAAATCAAAAGATTATCACGATAACATGAATACAGAGATGTTTGTAAAATGGTGGAAAGAAAAACTGCGTCCAAGTTTACATGAATCATCTGTTTAGTTTTGGATAATGCCC